GCCGCCCGCGGCTCAGGTACGTGGCTCAGACCCGTCGCCCGCCTGGCCCGACTCCTGAACCACTGACCCACTTTCAGAACAGCCTGTTTTCTCCTTTACCCAAACGCGCTGCCTTCCTTCCCCCCTCCCGCTCCCCACCTTGAACGTGTTTGTGCGGAGACCAGCGCGGGCCGAGGCGGCGACAGCGGAGTTTCCGCCGTGGGAAAGTGGCGGCGGTGGAGTGTTTCAGCCGGGCGAGGGGAGAGCAACGCTCGGGGAAGGGGAGGCACCCACGGCCCGGCCGGGGACGGCTCGCAGCCGCCTGGGAGCCATGCCGCGTACTCAGCGGTCCCACGCGTTTCGTGAAGATTCCAGCCCCACTTCTCCGCGGAGGGAGCCGGGCTGGCAGAGAGTCAGTGTTTGGCTCCCGGCCCCGGGACGCGTCAGTGGCAGGGGTGGAGGGCGAACGCCCAAGTTGTCTCGATCCCTGTTTCATGCAGGGGGAAAATTAACACGACATCCTTGGGCCTGAAATTCAGCTCAGCTCCGTGCTGGCTCCCGGCTGCCCTCCTCCCCTCCAGGAGCCCAGGCTTTTGCTGGCACTGGACAGAGCCTTGAGGGGAAAAACAAGGGGGAAATGCTATTGCTTTAGCTTAGAAAGTAATCAAGCTTCACGTGTCTTTTAAGTTCAAGGTGGTCTCTTAGAATTGGGGGATATTTTTAAATGAGCAGAAAAAAGAGGTCAAATAATAATGGTAATAATAAGAGGACAAGAAACTTGGTTTCAAGTTCTCACTCCACTTCTCGCTGGCTCTGAGACTTCGGCAATTCCCTTTGGTTTCCCTAGGCCTGGATTTCTTCATCAATAAAATGTGTGGGGCTGAGGGGTGGCGGTGGTGAACTAACATGATTTTGTCTAAATTCCTTTCTAACAAAATAAGTCTAGGGTAATGGGAGTCCAGAGGGAAGCCGTAATGGGTGGTCTTAGAAGACTTCTTTTGTTTACTGATTCTTCAAATATATTAATTTTACCTCCTGCTGCTAGATGGTTAGTCCCTGCAGGAAAAGGAGGTTTCTTAACCCTTTTTGACCCCCTGGCCCCCAGTATACTATCAAACAGCTCATAGGTGCTTAAGAGCCTTTCACGTAAGCTGCTTTTATTTCTGTTTCGCTCATCTGCTCTCAAGGCAAAAGGTAAAACGGTATCGTCTGGGCCTAAGGCTGGGGGAAAGCTGGGCAGCTACATGTCTCTGCAGGAGGGCTGCCTGGAATTTAGGCATAATTACTGGCCCTAGCTAAATAAGAGAGATCAGGGGGGTTCTTGAATTAGTTCTTGCCCCATTTGGGCTACGCGGGAAGAACTGTCCTGTACACTTGCCCAGAGAGCTGGCAGACAAGCCTGGCTCCGGAAGGCTGAGTTACTGACTTAGCTGGAGCTGGAAACCGCTCCTCCGCCAGGCCAGTGACCCTGTGGGGGGCCTCTCCTGGGAGCTGAAAGGAAGCTGTGAAGTACGTCCTGATACCGCGTAAGGGCGATGACTATGATCGGACACATTGTTAGACGGCAGACACACAGAATCCTTAACCTTTTCCAAACCTCTGCTTTTTTGTTGTTGTCGCTGTTGTTTCTTTTGGGCAGTTTCTCTCCGTCAGTATAGTTCAGACAGGCCTTGGCTGACTGGGGTGGGCTGACTCAGGGCTGCTGGTATTGCTAAACTGTTCCTGTGAAATAGGGAGGCCCGGGTATGGTCCTCATCATGTTTGTAGATGGCTCTCCCTATCCCCCTGGAATGAAAAGTCTGGAATTTCAAGATATTTCCCTTGTGATGAGTTACTGACTTTATTTTCAAGTAATGATGCTTCATTATCTGAAATCACGCTAACTGTTGTTCAGCTGCCAGCCTCGTTTTGATGCCGAGAGACCACCCACAGTTATTCTTAATCTGGTGTTGCGGCTCCAAGTCCTTCCAGAATGGAGCATGATGAGCTGGACAGTGCCGTAGCTGCCCTGCTCAGTGTGCAGGGCTGGCTGACCTGAAGTGAAGTCTGGGCAGTGAACCAGCATATCAGGGAACAGGTTCTTACCTCAGGGACACGCAGATTCTGGAGGGTGCAAAGGCAGAAAAGGTTTAAGGCTCTCCTCTCAGGATTAAGGAGTTAGTCACTTTAAAATGCCCTGGCTGGTGTGGCTCAGTTGGTTGGAGCGTTGTCCTATGTACCAAAAGGTGGCAGTCCGATTCCCAGTCTGTGTACATGCTCAGGTTGTAGATCTGTCCTCAGCCGGGATGTGTGAGGGAGGCAGCTGATCAATGTTTTTCTCACATTCATGTTTCTCTCGCTCCCTTTCTCTGTCTCTCAAATCCATTTTAAAAGTAAATAAATACAAATAAAAAATTAAGCTCATAAAAAATAAAAATAAAAGGAAGAGGAGAGGGCAGTCATATTTGCAAGCATTCTTTACAGACACTCAGAAAGATAGATTATGGGGGTAGTTTGTCTAAATGAAATCTAGGTTTTTGCACATGTTGTAGAGTCAAAATCTCAGAAATATCTTGAATTCGGATCGTTTTTCTGCTGCAGGCAATTTTAGATTAGGCAACTGATGCAGAAAAGAACACCGACGAGGCACATTACACTTTAAATTCCTTTCAGATCCCACAAAATAACCCCTAATGTTTTATCACATTTCCTTATCAAAACAATCCTGCTTCTTTAGTGTGAAAGCCTCTGAGGATTGGAATCAAGAAGCT